TTCTCGGACACCTCCAGTGGCACTCAATAGCTCCAGAATGAGCTGTTTCAGTCGTCCTAGTATGTCACCAACTCCTCTTGACCGCTGTAGATCACCTGGAATGCTTGAACCCCTTGGCAGCTCTAGAACACCCATGTCTGTCCTACAGCAAGCTGGTGGCTCCATGATGGATGGTCCAGGTTCCCGAATACCTGATCACCAGAGAACATCTGTGCCCGAAAATCATGCTCAATCTAGAATTGCACTTGCCCTAACAGCCATCAGTCTTGGCACTGCTCGGCCTCCTCCGTCCATGTCTGCTGCTGGCCTTGCAGCACGAATGTCCCAGGTTCCAGCTCCAGTGCCTCTCATGAGTCTCAGAACGGCTCCAGCTGCCAACCTTGCCAGCAGAATTCCTGCTGCCTCTGCAGCAGCCATGAACCTGGCCAGCGCCAGGACACCTGCCATCCCAACAGCAGTGAACTTGGCTGACTCTCGAACGCCAGCCGCTGCAGCAGCAATGAACTTGGCCAGCCCCAGAACAGCGGTGGCACCTTCAGCCGTGAACCTTGCTGATCCCCGTACTCCCACAGCCCCAGCTGTGAACCTAGCAGGAGCCAGAACCCCAGCTGCCTTGGCAGCTTTGAGTCTCACAGGCTCTGGCACCCCCCCAACTGCTGCAAGTTATCCATCCAGCTCCAGAACACCCCAAGCTCCAGCCTCTGCAAACCTGGTGGGCGCTCGGTCTGCACATGCCGCAGCTCCTGTGAATATTGCCAGCTCTAGAACCCCTGCAGCCTTGGCCCCTGCAAGCCTCACGAGTGCTAGGATGGCTCCGGCATTGTCTGGTGCAAACCTCACCAGTCCCAGGGTGCCCCTTTCTGCCTATGACCGTGTCAGTGGCAGAACCTCACCACCGCTCCTTGACCGAGCCAGGTCCAGAACACCACCTTCTGCCCCGAGCCAGGCTAGAATGACCTCTGAGCAGGCTGTCTCACCTGCCTCAAGAATGGTCCAGGCTCCCTCACAGTCTCTTTTTCCTCCAGCACAGGATCGGCCTAGGTCCCCTGTGCCATCTGCTTTTTCAGACCAATCCCGGTCTTTGATTGCCCAGACTACCCCTGTAGCAGGGTCTCAGTCCCTTTCTTCTGGGGCAGTGGCAAAGACCACGTCCTCTGCTGGTGACCACAATGGCATGCTCTCGGTCCCTGCCCCTGGTGTGTCCCACTGTGAGGGTGGGGAACCACCTGTCCCCACTGGGGCCCAGCAACCTTCTGCGTTGGCCACCCTGCAGCCAGCAAAAGAGCGGCGGAGCTCCTCCTCCTCGTCCTCTAGCTCCTCCTCTTCATCATCATCGTCGTCCTCTTCCTCCTCCTCCTCCTCCTCCGGCTCCAGTTCTAGTGACTCGGAGGGCTCTAGCCTTCCTGCGCAACCTGAGGTGGCACTGAAGAGGTGAGGGAGCTTGGCTTTTAGAAACCTTCGGGGTGGGGGGAGGCGTTGGGGATGTGTGGGGGAGTGGGGAGGGAGAAGCCGTGTCGAGGTGCTTGACCCTTTGAGGAGGTATGGGGGACCTTGACCCTCAAGCTGAGGGTAGAAGAGAATGCTGGGGTGGGGGCTGATGGGGGAGGAATGGGACAGATAAAAGTCTCCAAAGGTTAATTGTCTATAGGATAATGATAAGTTTTCCATCTCTACAGAGGACAGAACTAGAGGAAATGGACTTAATTTTACAGCAGGAGGGATGGCAGTTAGACCTCAAGAGGAACTCCCTGGGCTGGAAGGATCTTCAGAGGTCATCCCATCCCTCTCCCTGCCTCCAGGCAGGACGGCCCCTTCCCCAGCCAACCTGCACTCACAGGGGCCTCCCCAAGCTGCGGCTCTCCGGGGAAGGAGACCACCCAGCTTCAGCTTCTACACCTGAGCCCAGAGGCCTTATTCCTCCATCAGGGACATTCTTGAGGTTTAACCTTGATCCCTTGTGCTGCGGGCCCCAGCCTGTTGCTTGTGTTAGCAGAGGTTGGGTCAGCTTGGACCACTGCTCTCCAGAGAATGTGCTCACTGGCTCTTCTGGCTCGGAGAGCTCCCAGGCCTTTCTCAGGCACCCCTCCCCCACTGCCATTCCTCCAGGCCAAGGAAGGTAGGGTTGGGGCTGGGGCAGCTTGTCTCCTTGTGACATTTCTCTTCTCCCACAGGGTCCCCAGCCCCACGCCTGCCCCAAAGGAGGCTGTTCGAGAGGGACGTCCTCAGGAACCAACCCCAGCCAAACGGAAGAGGCGCTCTAGCAGTTCCAGTTCCAGCTCCTCCTCTTCATCTTCCTCCTCCTCCTCCTCCTCCTCCTCTTCTTCCTCTTCTTCCTCCCCCTCCCCTGCCAAGCCTGGCCCTCAGGCCTTGCCTAAACCTGCAAGCCCCAAGAAACCACCCCCTGGCGAGCGGAGGTGAGTGCTACCTTGCCTGAGATAGGACGGTGGGCGGTGGCTTGTCCAGAGAAGGGACCCTGGGATATGAGCTCCCTGCTGGGTTGTCTCGAGTGGACTAAAGTGTCTGGTTGTGTGGGAGGAGTCAGGCACGCTCCTCTTCCCCTACTCCTTCGGCCCCGTTCTGGCAGAGAGTGAGCTGCACCCTCCAAATGGGTGCTTGAGCCAGAATTGGGGCGTCCTAGGCTTCTTCCTCTCCCTCACCCTGACACACAGCCTGGTCCCAGGGATTCTAGCTTTAAGTCTCCTTAGCGCTGCTGCCAGGGCTCTGGTCTGGCCACCATCATCATCTCCCGACTCTGTCCACAGCCTCCTCCCTGTCTCCCTGCCTCCACGCCATTCTCTTCCACATGTAGCCAGAGGGATCTTTCTAAAACGCACATCTGGTTACTTCCCTCCACTCCACAAATCCTTCCGGGACGCCCTGTGGCCTGCAGGATAAAGCCCCACCTCTGCGGGAATGGCGTGTGAGGCTCTTCACCAACTGGCCTTGCCCGCCCTGTGTTCTCCTCTCCTACCCGCCCCCACACATGCCCTGTGCTCCAGCCATACCCAGCGCCTTGCAGTCTAAGGAGAGCCCATGCCTTTGGACATGCTGTTCCTTCTGCCTGGAATTTCCTTGTCCGCCTGGTGAACTCCTCGTTCTGCAAGACTCCACTCAAACAGCACCTTCGAGAAGACTGACCTCCCCCTCCCCTCCCCGCCCACGTTCCCCTCCCTTGGGTCCCCAGACCTGTGCACTTCCAAACCTGCGGGGCTGCTTCCCACACATGGGGCCGTGTGTGCCTTCACCACTGAGCTCCCTCAAGAGCAGGGACTGTCTTTATCTTCCCACCCCCGCTGCCCCCTGTGCCTGCCCACTGGGGCACATGGTGGATGGTGTGCGGGCGGATGGGTGAGTGAGCGGACAAAGGTGGGTCTGAGGCTGGCCCTGCGTGGTGTGAGGTTTGGTGGTCAGGACCTGGGTGGGTGGTCCTGAGTGCTGGCTGGTGTGTTGGGAAGGGTGTGGTGCTAGGAGGTTCTACTCTGCTCCCAGGTCCCGCAGCCCCCGGAAGCCAATAGACTCCCTTCGGGACTCTCGGTCCCTCAGCTATTCGCCTGTGGAGCGTCGCCGTCCCTCACCCCAGCCCTCACCACGGGACCAGCAGAGGTAGGCCAACCAACAGCCAGAAGTCTGGCCACCCCTGACTTCTGCAGTTTGAGGTTTAGTGGTGCCTGAGGTTGGTGCCACCCTGTGGTCTGATACCTGCTGTGTGTTGCAGCAGCAGCAGTGAGCGGGGTTCCCGGAGAGGCCAGCGTGGGGACAGCCGCTCCCCGGGTCACAAGCGCAGGAAGGAAACACCTAGCCCTCGGCCCATGCGACACCGCTCCTCCAGGTGCGCCACACCCCGGAAGGCTGAGCCACTGCCGGTGGTGGTGGGTGGTGGCCCCATTCTGGAAGTGGCCCAGAAAGCTGGGCTTGAGTCTTTCCGTTGATGCCCATCTTTTCTGTTGCAGGTCTCCATAAGTCTTTGGGGGATTCCACCATACCCCATGCTCTGGAGCTCCAGGGGGTGTCCTCTTGTTCATCAGCAGAGATGTGGGAGGGGGCATTGTCTGTCCCCCTTGAACCTTGGCAGCCCTTGGAGGGAGGCTCCCTTTCCCTCCACTTTTTTTTTCTTTGTTCATGTGAAATGTTACTCTCTGTGAGTTTTTCCTGGTTCACGTGTTTTGGGGGGTTTGGGGTGGGAGGGAATACAGATGGGAGCTGGGGGAGGGGAGGATGCAGTTCAGGATACCCCAACCTGGAATCAGGGCCTGGGAGGCATGGCCCCCCTTGTGTCCCCAGGTTCTTGAGGGGTCAGGTGATGGTTTGGGACTGAGGAGGTTCTGTTTGGGGTGGCCTTGGAAGGGGCCGGAGTTGAAATAACTTGGCCCCTACTGCCCCCCACGAGGTTATGGCCCCTCCCCCCAACTTCTCTTCACGTTTCTTAAAGGCATTTTGGTTTTTTAAAATCTGTACAGCAAGAGCAACTTTTTCTGTCAAATAAAAATGAGAAATGCAGGAATTGGGTCTATAGACTGTTTATTAGGCATGGTGAGGGGAGGGGCCGCCTTGAGTCAGGCAGCCCTTTGCCTGTGGGAGCCCTGAAGGGCCCCGCCTTACCAAACATGCTCCCAACCAGACATGGGTTCCAGCTTACATATTTGCTCTCAGCTTTTGTTCCTCAGGACACGAAGGCCCTGGGAGTAGGCATGCTTAGGGGTGAACACCTTGAAGGAACAGGCGTAGAATTTTCTGTCCCCTGCTGACATGGGCTGGCCCAGGTTTCCGGGTTCTTCCCAGTCTTCCTACATCTTGGTGGCTGACAGCAGCTCGCCCCTCAGGAGAGCCCAGGTCCCTGTGGCACCTTTGAGTAGCATGCTGGGCAAGTTCTCAGCTAGGGCCCCAGGGTCTGGGAGACAGGACAGCAGGGGACCTGTAGACAAGAGCATGGGGGAGCAGGACCCATCCCAGGGAGGGTGATGCCTGGAGGCAGGAGGAAAGTACAGAGAAAGAGGCAGCAACCAGGCAGACACCCAAATCTTTTATTGGGGGGAACAGGCCTCTCGGGGGGCCAAGGTCGTCACTGCACAGCTTGTTCGTTGGTGCTGCTTCCTGAGTCCTGGGGCTTCATCACATCGGGCAGCTCAGGTGGGCTGGAGAAGGGCTCAATGCGCAGGGCCTCAAAGGTGTCATCTGTGGGGAAGGAACCGAGCTAGGGCATCCCTACCTTTGCCCCAGCCAGGGCGTCCATGGAAACCTGGAGCTTTGGGAGCCTCCCTTCATGCAAACACCCACCCCCACAGAGTTGGTCCCCATAGCCCTGACTCCCGACTCGGTGGAATGTGGTAGACATTCCACCACTCCTGCAAACCCCCTCCAGCTAGTCATTCTAGGGCCCTTTTCATCTTCCACATTCACTAGTGAGCCTGCCAGTCTCCACAGCCACCGTCAACCTTCACCCAGAGTACTGCTAGACTGTTCCTTCCCCGCTTAAACCTTCCAGTGGCTTCCCAGCATACTTGGAATCAAATTTCAAGTTCTTGTCATTATGCTTCTGATACTCTTATCTCCTGTGCTTGAAGTCTGGCTCCCTGTGTTCCCCCACCAAGCTCTTTCGCTGGTCCCAACACCTGCCCCTCATAATGGCTAGCTGCTTCTGGCCATTCAAGGTTCTTGTCACATCAGAAAAAACCTTCCCCAGCTCCCCCTCGGTCATGGCGTCCCAACATTCTTGAGGGCAATTACCACTGGCCAAAAGGGCTTTTGTTTCTACTGACTGGCTTCTGTCCCCACCAGAACAGTGGCTCCAGAAAGGCAAAACCCTTCTTGTCACCCCAGCACAGAGCAAACATTCCTCCCGTGCTTTCTTCCACCTAGGAGATCTTTCCACCTGTCTCCAGGTTCTCAACTGACCAGGCCCCCATGGAAAGCTGCCATGTCTGGTGATAGTTCTAGCTGTCCTAACTGGGGGGTGGGGGTGCAGCGGGAACCGCAGCTGGTGTCTAGTGGGTGGAGGCCAGGGGTGCTGCTACATATAACTGCCACCCAGCCCCAGGTGCAAACAGTGCTGAGGCTCAAAACCCAGACCCAGCCTAATCTAATTCATCTTCCAAGCCACAAACCCAGTCTTACCTTCATGATGGCCTTCACTCTGGTGATTACCTGGATGATGCCCTCTACCATTTGATTTGACACTGCCATCTCCTGACCAGTTAGTTTGGGGGAGGTGTCTCCTTCAGCATGGATATTTGAGCGGCTGAGGGTAGGGCACCCAGTCAAGGCCTATGAACTACATGCTGATTGGCGTTTTTGCAAGTAGTCCATGGGGAAGACAAGAGCTTTCGAGCCACACTGTGGCCCCTGTCAAGACATCAGCATCACCTGCCTGAGGGATGATGCCCCCTCTGGTAGTCCAGAGTCACCACCACATTCGATGCCATACTGGAGGGAAAAGCAAGTCATTTCCCTCAGCCTTGGGTTTTTCATCTGCAAAATGGATCTATCAACATCTTCCAAGTTACAGCAAACTTCTAGCATGGCTTTGGTCAAAATAGAGAAGCCCAGCCTGGGTTTAGGAAGCTGATCAGATATAATTTGGGCCCTCACTTGCCCCTTTCAGAAAGGCACCTGGTACAGGGCACAACTTGGACATCCATGCCAGCCCTGTATCTGACTTTCAGCATCACCCATATATGGGCAGAAGGAACCCACAGACCCCAAAGCCTCCTGTTTGCCAAGCACTTGCAGCAGACTGGACCCGGGGTGCACACACAAGGGCTCCTGCTGCTTTGCTGCAAGGCCAGCCCCGTCACACCCTTCATGAACAGGGACTCCCAGGCTGGGAGGGGTGGGAATGCAAAGTGGCTGGCCGGAGGACACAGCCACTGAGGCTGAGCCTGGTCCAGTTAACCCTGTGGATCTGAAGAGTGTAGTGAGGACTGCAGCCTTCCTCTTCAGCCCTTGTTACAAGTTCTTTCAAGGCAGAAACATTATTTCTTGTAGCTTTATCAAAGTTTCCCCAGTGTCTACACACTCTTGGGTCCACAGCTATGAAAACAGCTCTACAATTTCTGTTCAAATTCCTAGAGACAATGAATAAAATTTAGAAGCTTCCCTCCCTTTTTTTTGGGTGGGAGGAGATACATGCATTGGTAGGAAGTAAACCACTCTTCCCCAGGTTTCTAAAGCTTGCACAGGTGTGGCTGATGGCGCAAAGGCTCTGGATCTGAATCCTAGACTGGGCAGTTACAGCAAGTGACCTGACTTCCCCAGGCTCACTTTGTGCATCCTGAGAACTGGCACAATCCCAGGCTTAACCACTCGGACATGCTGCGGGATTAAGTGAGTGCTGCACAGACAGCCTGGCACAATGTCTGGCTCCCAAATGGTCCAGCAGCCAGCATTTCCACCGGGGCTCCCCATGTGACTGCTGGCAAGTCTCAGTGTCCTAATCTGAAAAACGGGGATGATGCAGTGAGGACCTCCCGGGACTACCGAGAAGGTGAGATGGGACAATGGAAGTCACCTGTACAAGTGAGCTGTATCATGACGAGGGATCTTTGAATCCTTTGGGGAAAAGGCTTTGGTTTCTACAAGCATCTCGTTTGCTTTTTTAAAAATGAAACAAACACTGTTAAAGCTGCCTTTTGTGCACAGGAAGACACTGTCACACAGGCTTGAGGGAACACCTCCAAGCTCCCCAATAACCCCTCTGGCTGATCCCACCCTGCTTGGCTGCCATCCAGCTCAGGCCCCTCTCACCTGCCCGGAAGGCCAGCCCCACTGTGGCTGGGGCCTGTGGCCGTGCTGTTTGGCTGGTGAAGCCACACTCGCCCAGCGTCTTGCCATCATCCAGGAGCTGGTCGTCCTGAGGAGAGAGGCAGGATCTTAAGAAAGGCCCCAGGAGGGGCAAATGTCAGAGATCTCTCTGACCAACAACAACACTGGAAATTAAAGAAGGGAAGAGAGACAATCCAGGGCCACACCAGTGTACACCAAACACAGAGACCAGCATTACATCCAAGAGTTCAGAGTCAGAGCCTCCCAGAGTGGGACTCTAGAGTCTTTCCAAATTCTCTGGGAAAATCTAACTTCAAGAGCCACTGAGCTAGTCTGGAGATAAACAGATCTGGATCTGAACCCCACCCAGTTCTGTCACCCTTGACGGGGTAGTTGAACCTTTTTGTTTGTTTGTTTGAGATGGGGTCTCACTGTGTTGCCCAGGCTGGAGCACAGCAATGATTTACAAGCATGATCAGTATACTACAGCCTCCAACTTCTGAGCTCAAGTGATCCTCCCACCTCAACCTCCCATGTAGCTGAGACTACAAGCATGAGTTGCCACACCCAAGGGATAGTACTTATGATGCAAAGTTTCCCAACCTGTAAAGAAGGAATTACTGGAATTCCTAACTCATAGGGCAGCCAGGAGGCCTCAATGTGCTAGGGAGGCACAGAAAGCACTATGTACAGTATGTGGCACGTGAGATGTGCTCAGGCAGCGAGGGCCATTATTAGGGAAGTCCCTGCAGGTATCAGGGAAGCAAAGCCTTTACAGAAGCTGAGGCTCTAAGCCTGGAGAAAAAGGTCAGGCTCCCAGTTCCCAGCTCTAGAATCAGATCAATACACTTAGGTGAGGCTCTCACCCTGCTGGAAGACTAAATCAGGGGCTGGTTCCTTAATGAAGACGCCAGACCCCTAGCCATTCTTCCTGAAAATCGCAGTTGGCTCGTAAGGAGGACAGGGGAGGCTTCCAGAACATCAGCAGGGGATTGGGCGGTCACAAACAATGGCTTGGTGGAGATCTGGTAGGACCCGGCTTTCTCTGCATGGGGCCCCCCGCCCCCAGGCGTGTCTGGGTGGCCTGCAGAACGAGCAGGAACTAAGGGTGTAAACCCCGGCTCTGCCGACAACCTTCGGCTGGGTAAGAGACCACCTCGCCGAACCTCGGTTTCCCTAGCCGCAGAGCGGGAGCTGTCCAGGGTCAGCAGGTCGCCGGCGGGACGGCCGCAGGGGCGGCACCACGGTGCCCCTGGGCGCCCGGGCCCGGCACGCGGCTTAGTCATCCCCCTGGGCCGACCTCCGGGGCGAGCGCCGCTCGCGCGCCACCCGCACAACAGACGTCCCACCCCGCGGCTCGGAGGCGCGGCCTCAACCTGCCGGACACCGTTGACATCGATGACACCGGCGCGGTCGCGCCCCCCGCCGCCCCTTCCCGGGACCGCACCTTGTACAGCCGCTGCTCGTCGGGC